AACTTGGTGAGAGAGAGAGAGAGAGTATTTGTGGGTTCCGTCGCCATCTGTCTGTCTGTCTGTCCATCATCAGTTGACGTGAGGGGTATTGCCAAAAAGAGAGCTTGACAACAGGAAGTCGTAAATCTCATCTCATCTCTCTTTCCCAACCCCCTCCTTAAGGTTTTAGGGTTTTTTAAAGATAGATTTTAAAACCCTAAATCCCCCTCCCTAGGACTCCCTTGGCAGTTTTGCACTTTGAACGCCGGCAGTACACCCCGGGGTAGCGCCTTCGGGGAAGAAGACCAAGGGGTTACCGAAGTTCTCATTCCTTGTTCCATTCCTTGCCTTTGATCCCCAAACCCCCCAAACCCCCTCCCCCCCCCCACACACACAGTGTACGGTAAACAGTTCACAAGATAAGTGTTCGCGACTCAACGATACCGTTCACATCCCTCGCTCCTATCCCTGCTCTAAAACTCCAATCTGCCCTGGTTTTCCTCGTAGTCGCCCCAGTCTTTAAAATGTATTTCCACATCCCATGTTGTGCCTCCTGTGCCTCATGCACATCCCCTACTGCTGCTCGTACTGCTGCTGCTGTTGTTACTGTTGCTCTTACTGCTGCTGCCATTGATTTTGCTACTGCTGCTGCTACTACTGTTGCTGTTACTGCTGTACTGATGCTTTTCCTTCCCTAGCCTGCGGTGGTTGGTCTAGCACTGGGCATCGCGAGGGCCTTATCTCACCTCCACTCCAAAAGAATCATCCACGGAGGTGAGTGAGGTGGGACGTATAGCGTGTATGTGTGTGTGTGCAGATTCCACTGGATGCTACTGGTCGTGCTACTGGTCGTGCTGGTGGTGGTGGTGGTGTGGGGGGGGGCCGCCGCGGATCCGAAAAAGTCACCACCGATGGTCGGCAAAAGTCGGCATGGGTGGTGAGAAGGATGAGGAGGAATCGGAGAAGGTGCTGGGGACAGTAGTACGCCGCCGCACACTGAATAACATTGGCGGTCCTCCCCCCGCTTTTTCCCGCCTCCTTCCAACAGACCTAAACCCGAATAACGTGTTGCTCAAGCGGGACGTGAACGAGCCGTCCGGGTACATCGTCAAGGTTGGGGACTTCGGCCTGAGGTGGGGGTGGGGCGGTGGCTGTGGGGCCGGGGATGATGAAGAGGAGGAGGGGGAGGATGTTTTTTTTTGTTTTTTTTTCAATTTTGCATGATAATTTCTTATTAACTTTCTAGAGAGACAGTTACATCATTAAGGGAGCAGTCGTGGTAGCTATATAAAAAAAGCTATCGCTCTGCTGTGTGGCAAAAGATTATGTCGGCCACCGGGGTCGATGCCTAGGCCCCCTTCCTGCCGGGCCTCTTCCGCCCCTTACTTCGCTTCGTCGCTCGGAAGTCGCCGACAACCCGAGACTTGTGT